GGCCCATAACAAGGGTGTGGCTAACGTTGGTTTACAGTTGTCTGTATGGAATATAATACAATGTGAATAAATAATAGTAGAAGAATAAACTCTGTGTTTTACATACAACTGTAAACCTACTTTCACCCCACCCTGTAGTTGAGAGCCATGCTTTTATGCAGATGCAGTTATTAAGGACCAAGCATATCTGAGAAGGCCATGGCCCACAAAGCACTGCTAGCCATTTTTATTTTCCTTGAAACAAATTTAACGGAACCCTTGGCAAGAATATATCAAGTAACTCAATGTCTTGGAAAGGTTCACTCACAGAAGATTCCCTTATATGTGATTGCAAGCAATTAATTAAAAAATGGAAATGTGCTTTTTACATTTAACTAGGAGTCCTAGGCCTGTCTCTCACCTTGCCAGCTAACCTTCCTTCAAATATCAATATAGTTTAAATTGGTTTTGCTAATGCCCTAGATACTAGGAAAATCCAACTGGCGCACACCAGTTCTTTTTTTAAAATATATTTTATTGATTTTTTTACAGAGAGGAAGGGAGAGGGATAGAGAGTTAGAAACATCGATGAGAGAGACACATCGATCAGCTGCCTCTTGCACACCTCCCACTGGGGATGTGCCCGAAACCAAGGTACATGCCCTTGACCGGAATCGAACCTGGGACCTTTCAGTTCGCAGGCCGATGCTCCATCCACTGAGCCAAACCGGTTAGGGCACACCAGTTCTTAATTTGCGGTCCCCAATTCTGAGCCTTACATATACAACCTGAGAGGTCACAGCAGCTTCTCTTGTCTGCGTCATAAGAATTGTCCCTGGAACTTGTACCTTAATAATTGTTAGTGTTTAGCCCAGCTGGCATGGCTCACAGTGGTTGAGCATCGACCCATGAACCCGGAGGTCACGGTTCGATTCCCTGTCAGGGCACATGCCCAGGTTGCGGGCTCCATCCCCAGTGTGGGGTGTGCGGGAGGCAGCCGATCCATGATTCTCTCTCATCATGGATGTTTCTATCTCTCCCTCCCTCTCCCTTCCTCTTTGAAATCAATAAAAATATATATTTTAAAAAATAATAATTTCCAGCGGTTAAAAGTGAGTATAAGAGCACTCGAGTTCCCCAGGACTCTGGAAATATTTCTTCTTCACATGGGACCCTAGGAACCTCTGACAACCCAAGAAAGTGTGGTGTTGCAAATCACATTAACAAAATATAAAGGGGCGTCATCCAGCTCTCTGTTACTATTGATGATCTGCAGGGGGCAAGGTGGCGTCTTTCCTGTGGAAGTATACCAAGTTCATTGGCATCTGCCTGACGTGTTCTGACATGGAGATCCTCTCTCTGGTCACCGAAAGCATGAACCTCTTGACCTGTGTGTTACCTGCTTTGTGCTCACCATTTGTGAATGTCTGACTTAAAGAATGTCCTTCAGAATGACTAGCAAAACGTGAGTGGTTGAGGAAGTTTGTAGCCATGGACTTAATATGCTGCACATCATTCAAATAATGATATTTCTCTCTGAAAAATGCTATGGTTGCATGAAGACCTGGTTTAAATTCATCTGTCTCTTATAGACCCACTTTCCCTCCAGAGTACTTAGCACAGGACTTCAAAAGGCACTCAATAAATATTTGCTGAATGAATGTAACAGGAATTAATAACGCCAAATGTTTTTGAAAAGGTAATTGATGTCAAATGGTAGGCAGAGAAAGCCAGAGAAAGTTCACCAGGGATACAAATGCTGTGTACAAATTTGGTGCTGTGTCCAAGGAAAGAATTTACACTTAATAAATAACTTTTGAAACCAGGTCCTTTTATATCATTGCCTCTGGACTAGGCCACACTGGTGGCGGGAGAATCCCAGCCAAACAAACCCCGATAGCAGTTTGAGAAAGGGAAGTATAAATGAGACGTTAATGTTACAAAGGATCCCAGGAAATAAACCACTTTGCCATCTACTTGTCAAGAGATCTTTAAGGAGAGGACAACACACACACACACACACACACACACACACACACACACACTTACACTTACTCTTTAAAAATTTTATAAAATTAAAAGGGCAACTAGATGACATACAGAGAGCCTTGACAATAAAAATTCATGTATTCTTTCTCACACTGAGCCCCAAGACCCAGGTAAGCACAGTACAGCAGAATTTTGACTTGCATGATCTATATCAGTGATGGCGAACCTTTTGAGCTCAGCGTGTCAGCATTTTGAAAAACCCTAACTTAACTCTGGTGCCATGTCACATAGAGAAATTTTTTGATCTTTGCAACCATAGTAAAACAAAGACTTATATTTTTGATATTTATTTTATATATTTAAACGCCATTTAACAAAGAAAAATCAACCAAAAAAATGAGTTCGCGTGTCACCTCTGACACGCGTGTCATAGGTTCGCCATCACTGATCTATATTCTGGGCTTGGATTGTCAGAATGTCAGCTTCGACGCATCATGACAGATAGAGAAATGGATCCTATCTGTACAATACAGGGGCAAATTGAGGAAGCTATGTGGTGCAGAGAGAAACTTTGGGAGGCCAGCCCAGCCCAAGCACAGTTCAATGGCCTAGATGCCAAGAGAGATAGACATCTGGGCACGTCTCTAACCCAGCCATCATTTACCAGGGCTTGTGGACAACTGCCGGGAAGCTTTGTCTTAAAGAACCCTCCTCGGGGTGATCAGCCATCAGGGGAGTTTGCAGCAAACTAGAGTTCACGTGCTACCCTTTTGTGGGGATTCCCAGAGCATGCTAGCAGATGAACAGCACACGGTCTCTGAAAAGACCGGTGTCTCTTTTTTATCCCCCCCCCCCCCCCCCCCCCCCCCGCTTCTTTTTCAACCTTTAACCTGGACACTGCTTTAACGTCTCCCAGGTCTGAGGAGCTGCAGGATGGTTAAACCCTTCCGACAGGCACACAGTACCAGTGACTTAAAGGGTTAATGCAACACCACGGCGTCCTAACTGCCTGTCATTGGAGGATTAGTCCGGACACTGAAGTAACTTTCATCTCCGAGAAGAAATCCGCCTGGAACTTTATTAACGCCAAAGTGTTAAATACAATAATCACTATTATTGCCCCCAAATGAGAGGCTGAGGAGCCAAGACTAAGTGGATGTTGGAGCCGGGACCCCAGTCATCTCCAATAATTCATAGGCCACTGGCAAGCAGAGCTCTCAACATGGGATTCAAGAACCCTGTGCGCAGCCCCCTGCCCTCCCCGGCCCAGGAGACTTATCTGTCTTTCTGGTTATATATTCCCTTGGCTGTTGATGTAATTAGTGTATAATAACTGTGTACATATCAACTCACAGGAAAACCGGCAGACGTGCTGGTTGATTTGGCCGGAGGCCATCTCCTCGGCGGGGTGAGACAACCCGGTATAAACATCTGTTATTAACCGTATATTTTCAAATAGTGTTTTGTGTCTCCTGGGTTACTGATTCCCACCGAGAGCAACACCATATCAAGACTCCTGTTTTTCTGAGCGGCACCTAAGAGATAACAAGCTTTCAAACATTTACAACAGTCTCCTCAGTTCTGCTACTTCTGTGCTATTAAGAATTTTCTTTCTGAAAACAGCTACGGTGTCACACGCACTGCCTTTCTAGGTTTCATTCTCGTGGAGGTGAGCAGGGCTCACTTAAACTGAGTTACTATGAAGAGTTATGCTTTTTCAAGTCGAGAGCCCTAATAAAGCTGGCCCCAGCTTTTGTTGTTCTGAATAAGCAGTTGCTATTCCCTGTATTCGATCTATAGCCTCAGTAGGGGATGGGCTGTGACTGCAATTTTTCAAGAAGTGGTCATTCTCTCAGATCTGCTGGTTTGAGCGTATTACTTTCCTTGAGGTCAATTTAAGAAATTAATTTCTTAATATGAGAAATTCAAAAGCGGTTCCTCGTGCCACTTGCTGTAATTGGTAGCTGAATCCTGCTTCCTAAACCCCTAGGATTAAGTCACTGTGTGTGTGACAGAAAACAACACTATTTCTTTGATAGATGAGCCATCAAATATTCAAAAACGTTTATCCAAGCTAACGCAATGACGAACCACCTTGCCATAAAAAATAAAAATAATACAATTTTGTACCTGATTCCCAAATCACTTTTGACAGCTGCACTATAAAAGAGACTTGCTTCAAAAGTTATACCTGTGCCTCAGAACTCAGTTAGAATAGTTTTTTTTTTCTTTTTTCTCGGCGGTCTCATAACTGGCTGTTCCCAAGTATAACTAAAATTCCCCTGCCAGCCCGTTACCCTTTCACATATCCACGTTTAATTACATTCAGCTTGAGATCTTTGTATACATATAGAATATAGCCGCACTTGAAATCCATGGACTGCAATGCCTTTGACAGAAAGCCTTTATTCATCGTTCTCGCCTTATATATAAATAGACACACTCTGCTTGTCAAAAGGCAAGAATGAGCTTCTTCACATTGTCTAGAACAAAGAGCCCAGCTCGGCGTCTCTCTTTCCTCAGTGTCTCAGAAGGTGTCCTTTATTGCATGTGCACGATGCAAGCATTTTGCTGCTGCATGAATGAAAAACGATCCCTTCAGACCGCCTTTTTAGTGACAAATTGCACTTCTGCAGAATCTCACACTGCCTGTGGTGGAAAGAACCCCACTTAGATTTACTATGACTTCCTTGGGGACTCAGCCTTCTCACAAAGCACCCCGAGGCTCATTCCCAGTGTTTTCGAGGGCAACAACGATGAGAAAGTTTGCTCATCGTGATGGTCTCGAAACTCTGGGTGAGGAAAAACACTCCCTGGAATGTCTAAAGCGCGAAAATCATCGCCCCCGTGGCTTCTGGGTGTGCAAAACAGGCAGAAAAGTTGTCTGGAGGTATTTGCGACGCATTGTGTTTGTTCAGGAAGGAGCTGTGGGGTGAGAGGCTGAGCTCAGCCTCCCCTTTGCTTCCTGGGTGAGAGCAGCGAGGCTGCCACTTAAGCAGAAGCAAGAAGAGAGAGAGATCGGTAAGACTCACCGGCTTCCCCATTTTTCCCAGGACAGGCTTTTGGCTCCTCGGTGTGATCTGGAAAAAAGCAAACCTGTAGGTCCAAGCAGGCTGCCTCGGATCAGCTGAATGGCTGGGGCGTTCAGGAAGCTTCCTCTGTCCAGCTCGGATCACTCCCCCTCTCCAGGCTGTGTGCTCACACGCCTCCCAGGCAGCGCAAAAATCCGCCAAACTCAGGTCAGCCGAACAGGTTTCCTTATATAGGTAAACATGAATCGCATTCCTGGTGAAAGAAGTTAACTAGGAATCCAGTAACCTGGTTAACTCTCCACACGCCAGAACGGCTCCGAGTCAGTCAGCCCGCAGAGGGTTTGGTCGCAGTACAAAGGGATTTGTGCGATTTAATTAAAATCATCTTTATCCTGGCAGTCTGTAATATTGGCCTTTCTGGTGTAACTGCGAGTCAACAGCTAGTATTTTATATCATGGGCTGTGAGCAACCTTCTATTATCTGAAGGCATTGTAGGGAGGAAAACCAAAGTATAGGATATTATCATTTGTCTTTCATGTTTTTAAAACCAGGGTAACTTGTCTTGAAATTATTTTCAAAGAAGTGAATAGAACATGTGATAGGAAGAGAATGTGAACAAACCTCTATCAAATGAGGCTCAAATGCCTTATTTGAGCAAAGTAAGTAATAGTTATTCAACTTTCCCAGGCCTTTAGTAGATAATGCAATGTGATCATTTTGAGTCTACTCCTTTTACAACACAATAATTGCTACTGTATTCTTTGATGGGTGAAATGACACATAATGGCATCTATTTATTCCCTGTAATAACCCTCCAGAGACCACATACTGAAGTGTTATTTGATGGTTTCAGGAAAAAAAGCTAAGACTTGTGGATTTGCATAATTATATGCAACAATTTTTAAACGACTTCCTGGGCTTAAGTAGGTAAGAAAATATTTTTTAATGTTTTTATTGATTTTAAAGAGAGAGGAAGAGAGAGGGAGAGGAATAAGGAGAGGGAGAGGGGAAGAGGCAGGTAGTAATTCGTTGCCTCCCACACGCACCCTGATCAGGGATCAAACCCACAACCTGGGCATGTGTCCTGACTGGGAATTGAACCAGCAACCTTTAGGTGCACAGGACGATGTTCAACCAACTGAGCCACACTGGCCAGGGCAAAAAAAATATTTTTAAAAGAACTCTGGGGAAGGCCTACCTCTAGGATCAAAACATAGTTTTCAAATGTAAGTATTTCTATCAATTGTCCAATAATTGGCTCTTTCCCCCTAAATTTATCTACCACTAATATAGAAATAATTCTTTTTTATTCTAACCAATTCCACTGAAATCTTACTAGAAAGTAGAGACTCAAGTCTTTCCAGTTCCTGAGTGTTGGAGGTGAAGGTTGCCTGTTAAATAAACCCTACTTTAAAATGAATCACTTGTTCCTATTCCATCCACTGGTTGACTGCTCCTTGAGTAGTGACAACCTTGGTAAAAATAGCTCAGTGCTGTATTTTAGATCTCTGCTAGGGAAAGGGGAGAGGAATGAACGTGTACACACTACCTCAGCCAGCACCAGCACAAACCAATCAGGAAAATTTTCTGTTAAGAGGAGTAAATTGCACAAATTGCACTGTCAGGAAGGGTAACTAAACTTTGAATAGCATTTTACATTGGGCAAAGATTTTCTCATACCATTTCTTTTTATATTGCAACAAGAACGCTATGAAGTGTGTTACTATTCCTTTCTGTGATAACAAAACTGATTTGCAGAGAGATAAAGTGATTTTTCCAAAGCCTCATGATCAGTCTGTGAAACATCCAAGATCATAGATCTTCTAGAATTTAACTACAATAGAATTTTCAAAAATAGCGTCAACTTGAAGAGGCAGAAGAACATTAAAATGGCAGTTTTCCATGTGCAAATATTATTTTTAATAATCATATGCCCAGAGAGTTTAAATGCAATATAGTACTGCAATATACTGATTAAAATACTGTTATAAAGTCATAACTTACTGCTAAAATTACTGCCTTTAAGTGACTCCAGAAAGATCATAAAATGGGATAGGAAGTGGATCTTTATTGAATATGAATTTGGGTTATAAAATAGTATGAAAATATAACTTTGCAAATATTGCACACATATTTCTGTTCACAGTATACACATTTCTATTGTATAAAGTTAAGGCTCATCTTGACTCCCCTACTAGAAGGAATATTAGTGTTTTCTACTTATTGGGCTCTCGTTAAATACAAACACTGTGTGTCATGCTAGGTAAATGGCTTTCACTAATACAGTCCATTTATGATCCTGCACCCTTTATGTCCTCACAATTCCCACTGAAGCAAGTTCTGTTTATACAGGAACTTTAGATTTTATTAACATGTTGATACAAGACAAAGAATGCATTTTTTTCCAGGGCAGGCTAAAGCTTTAAGTGCTTTAAGCTGGCCTCCAAATTTGTTCTTACAATTTTAAGCAAACAACCATTTAGGTTTTGAACACAAAATATCTTGGGCTATCATTATTGATTTGCAAGGTCAAAATGAAGTTTGGATCTCTAAACAGCATATTCCAAAGAGGGAATGCAACCCCCTGCTGAATCCATTCTGGATGCCTCAAGAAACAGTTTGGGAAAGCCTGGGTCACTGAAGTAGCATGAATCCAACCTAACCAGAGAGGACCCATGAAAGAGCACTTACAGCTTAATAATTACACTGTGCCAAAAAATAGCACTTATGGGAAACGAAATAAAATACAAGACTTACTTGAAGGGGAGAAAATATCATTGTGGTTTAAAGAAAACATGAGAGAACAGATTGTAGAAATTCCCAGTGACATATAACTAATGAGTAGTTGAGCTATAATTCAAATCTTGGTCCACCAGACTCCAGAACACGTGCTATTCCTCCCGCATCCTGGATCTACCACTCTAACCAAGAAAGAGCAAAGGCCTTGCAGTCAGAAGATGCTTCCATTCCAGTTCCATCTCTTGCTTGTGTGGCCTTGGGTAAATTATTTAATATTTCTGAGCCTTACCTCCAAATGGAAATAAAAATGGCTGTACCTCTCACAGATGACTGGTAGTTCCTAATGATATTTTTTTAAAAATCATTCTACATGTATGTATTGGTGCTTTTTATGATGCAGGCATTTTGCTAGGTCTTGGGAATACACCCAGGAGTAGCAAGTTAGGCATGCTCTCCTTCCCCCAGCTAACAACCTGACAGGAATGACTGTGCACATCCATATTAAGGAATGTGAAACTCGAATGTTTCCCCCAATTTCTCAGTTAATGCAATAATGTTTAGTTGAAGTTCCATGTCAGTGAAGAAATATTAATGGACAAATGCCCAAGTTAGTGCTCTCACTGTGGTAACTGCAGGTTCCTCTCACTGGCCAGAGGCTCGCCTCGCCATGATTAGACTGAGGGAACCTGGGTCGAGCCAAATAAAGTAAATGCCAGAAAAAGATAAGACTTGGTGCATCATGATAGCATGACAATGTCCTTTATCGAACAACTGAGGAGGATGAGCACATGTCATTGAAAAGTATCTTGGAGATGCTCGGGGAGCTGAATGTTCATGGACTTGTTTCTATCATTCATTCTTTATATAAAAAAGCAATGAGGCCTGTCCAGGTGGCTCAGTTGGTTAGAGTGTTTTCCCAAGCACCCAAAGGGTTCAATTCCTGGTCAGGGCACATACCTAGGTTGCAGGTTTGATCCCCTATTGAGGTGTGTACGTGTCTCTCTCTCACATAGATGTTTCCCTCTCTCCCTCCCCATTTCTCTCTCTCTAAAATCAGTAAAAACATATCTTCAGGTGAAGACAAAAAAATAAGGAAAAAAAACCATGAGAAAGATTCCCTAAACATTTGCAACCAGTTATCTACCGACTAATCTATTATTAATTCACTTGCATCCAATACAGATTTAATTGGTATGTACTATGAATAAGGGTCTATGAAGAATACACACAGAAAAAGCTATACCTAAGAATGGTCTCTAGTTTCAATGGACCTTTCTAGAAAAATGTGCTCAATAGCTGTATCAGGCAGGACGAGTGAGGTTATGCTCTGGTAACAAGCAACCCCCAGATCTCAGTGGCTTGTAAAAACAAAGGTGTGTTTCTCAATCATGCTGTTTGTTGACACAAATCAATAGGCAGGACTCTCTTCTTCATAGCCACTCAGGAATCCAGGCTGATGAAGATTACTTTCAACACATACTTCCGTGGTTACTCAGACAAGAAATGGGGTCTTGGTGAGTTGTGCACTGCCTTTCAAAACTTCCCTCCATAAGGGACAATAAACTTTTGCTCACCTTTCATTGACTAGAGCTAGTCCGCTGGCCCCTTTAATTTAAAAGACAGAGACAGAATTAGAATACAGGACAAATGAAGACATGACAGATAGGGCAAACCATTTGGCTAGAGCCGTGGTCGGCAAACCACGGCTCACGAGCCACATGCGGCTCTTTGGCCCCTTGAGTGTGGCTCTTCCACAAAATACCACGTGCGGGCGCGCACGTACAGTGCGATTGAAACTTCGTGGCCCATGCGCAGAATTCAGGCTGGTGTTTTGTGGAAGAGCCACACTCAAGGGGCCAAAGAGCCGCATGTGGCTCACGAGCCGCAGTTTGCCAACCACTGGGCTAGAGGAAAGGATCAATTAAGTAGGCAATATGCAATACCCCTTCTGGCATAATGACTGGCATTATAAGTTTGGAAAGTACCGACTAGATCCCATTTACATAAGAGTGGGGACTTAAAGGTAGACTCAAGGATTATTAGTGGTTCTGGGTGAACCTTGAGGGAAACAGTGACATTTAAAAAGGATGTCCTGAGGCAGGATCGTCTTAATATTTCTATTAGTTACTTGAGTGATGAAATAAAAGACAAGTTGATTTAATTTGCAGATGGTGCAAAATTGGATAGCTAACACCTCAGAGGATTGTATTATAATTCAAAATGACCTTGAAGAGTAGGGGGAAAATGACATTAAGAAAGAAACTTGTGTTCAATGGTGATAAATAAAGAACTAGAATGAAAGGTCTACAAAATACCTGGTAGAAAAACTATAACCCACTAATAATATTAGCCTTTAAGTTAAAATATATATGCAGCTTAGCACTTTTAGTTGTAAAGCCTTTGGTATGGTGGTATTAATAACGTAAGCACTGGAAAATAGACACTTTCAGGGTATTGATTCATTGGTGATCCACATTATAAGAAACTAGAGGCCTGATGCATAAAAATTCGTGCAAGAGTAGGCCTTCTTCCCCGGCTGCCGGCACCGGCATCCCTCCAGCACCCGGGACCCAGACTTCCCTCCTCTGGCCGCTGGCAGGCACCCGGGACCCTGGCTGGCTTCCCTCTGGCCCTGGCTTTGTCAGGAAGGA